ACCTTGCTCAATACATAGCTGTGCACGATTGTTCAATGATCGGCGAACTCTGTGGCATACCCCCGGTTTGTCCTGAACATGTGCGGACGCGGCCATCACTCTTCCCAGTAGCTCTTGTTGGTTGAGAACAGTAGTTTCGTACACTAAAGCTTTCAGATGGCCCCAGAGAAAATAATCCAGTGGGGTCAGGTCGGGTGACCGCGCAGGCCAAGGCACAGGGCCACCTCGGCCTATCCACCTATTTGTCGTCCAAATACTGCCGCACTTGTAAAGAAAAGTGGGCTGGAGCGCCATCGTGTTGAAACCACGTGTTGGCTCTTATGTTCAGTGGCATATTTTCTAATAGTTCCGGTAGCACATGCTGTAAGAATCGACCATATGCATGCCCATCCAAACGTGGTGGAAGCAAATATGGCCCGATGATATGCTCGTCCACAATGCCGCACCAGATGTTAATTGAAAACTATGTTGGTCTCTATGGATGGCTATGGCATGAGGGTTTTCTTCATCCCAAATGTGACTGTTACGGCTATTAAAATAACCGTCCTTTGTGAAACAGGACTCGTCAGTGAACAAAACGTAGCGACCAAAGTTTGGTTGCCTCAACTCCTGCTGCAGCATTTCATGTGCAATAGCACGCACGCTTGTACGCGGATTGGCCTCTAGTTTGACGCACCACTCAGATAAATTAAATGAATCGGTGTGGAGAATTTACGATAACAAAAATTTAAACACAGCAGGCTTTTTTTTACAAATCGGCGAGACCATGAAATGTGCTAGACGAACATTTTGCAGCTGTTGAATGTTTTGTTTCTCTTAAGGTAAAATTAGCGGTAGTGCTCAAACGGCATATTTACGAACAGGGGTTTATAAGGCAAAATTGCATATTTTTATGCCCTCTACAACCCCTATCATTTTGTCGCAATAATTATGGAACACCCTGTATACTGAGTATAGAGATTGCTTGTCTAAAATTATTAAAAAAACCAAATATTCTTACTACAAAAATAAAATAATGCAGAACTTAAGTGATTCAAAAAAAATGTGGCAAAACATTAGGGAGGCTTCAAATGATTTTCAAGAAAAAAATACCATAAAATATAATAATAAAATATTAAAAAAATATATAATAAAAAAAATAATGGTCAAACTACCACAGACTTACATGAGATAGCTAATGAAATGAATGACTTTTTTAGTTCAATTGGCAAAAAACTTGCATCTAAAATAGTACCAAAACCACAATCTTATGAGCATTGTTTGGATAAATCCTTATTTCTCCAGCCTGTTAACGAGACGGAACTTGTTAATGTCTTTGGTTCGTTAAAAAATACCAACTCATGCGGAGAGGACGGCATATCCTCTAGAATTATAAAAGAAAATCATAAAAGTCTCATTAAACCATTGCTGCATCTGATCAATATTATTTTTTCTTCTAGTTGTTATCCTAAAATTTTTAAATACTCCATTGTCATTCCAATCCACAAAGGTGGGGATAAAACGGACATAAATAACTATAGGCCTATAGCTTTGTGTAGTGTGCTTAATAGAAAAGTGCATTAAATCAAAGTTATGGGACTACCTTGAGAAAAATAAAATAATATCTCCGGATCAGTTTGGGTTTAAACCAGAGGTTAGTACTGATAATGCGTTGTATAATGTTAACCAATTTGTGACAAACAGTATAAATAAGGGTCTTAAACCATTAGCTGTTTTCTTAGACTTAAAAAAAGCCTTTGATACGCCAATCACAATATTTTACTCAAACGTCTAGAAAGCATAGGAATTCGTGGAGTAGTACATAATTTATTTAAATCGTACCTGGAGAACAGATATCAAAAAGTTAAGTTAAGCGATGTTATTTATAGTGAAGCTGTTGGCGTACCGCAAGGTACAGTGCTTGGCCCGATTCTGTTCTCAGTGTATGTTAATAGTCTCTTAAACTTAAACGTTAATGATAAAATTGTGTGCTTCGCAGATGACACTGCCCTTTTAATCGCTGGTAGTTCATGGCTTGATGCTTTTACTAAAGCTGAACTAGACTTACACAAAATAAAATGCTGGTTAGACATAAATCAACTGACTCTAAATATTGAAAAGACAAAATTTATATCTTTTTCTATGACCAGAAGGGACATGCCTAATAAAGTGTATATTCCCTTACATAACTCTTCATGTAGCGTTCAATTAAATTGTAACTGTCATTTAAAAATACAATCCTGTGACAATATTAAATATTTGGGTGTATATTTTGATAGATTCTTAAGATGGGATATACATGTTGACTACATCAGCAAAAAAGTTAGGAAATTAGTGTACAAATTTTCGCAACTAAGGAATGTCTTAACCTTTAAGTTAACGAAAATGGTGTATTTTTCACTAGCGGAATCTATTTTAAATTATGGCCTTTTGTGCTGGGGTTCAGCATGTGAATACCTTTTACAACCATTAAAAGTGGCTCAAAAATTTTTATTAAAAATTTTGTTATTTAAACCTAAAATGTATTCTACCGATCTTCTTCTTCTCAAACAGAATTTCTAAACTTAAGGCAACTTTACTGTGTAAGAGTTAAAGTATGGGATCTTTCATGAGAGAGTTAACCACCCGATACGAACCAGGGCAGTAACTGAATCGAGATTCTGTTCTTCTCTGCAGAGTTTTTCTTTTACTCATAGAAATATTTCTTTTACAGGTCCCATATTGTTAAATCTATTACCGCTTCTCATAAGGAATAAACGAATTATTACAAAATCCATTAAAAACAAAATTAGATACTGGGTAAAAACTAATTATATACTTATTACAAAAAAATAGTATGATTCTCTGAGTAAATGAATACCTGTATCTGTGCTGCTACATGTGTAATATACAGGGTGTTCCATAATTATTGCGACAAAATGATAGGGGTTGTAGAGGGCATAAAAATATGCAATTTTGCCTTATAAACCCCTGTTCGTAAATATGCCGTTTGAGCACTACCGCTAATTTTACCTTAAGAGAAACAAAAAATTCAACAGCTGCAAAATGTTTGTCTAGCACATTTCATGGTCTCGCCGATTTGTAAAAAAAAGCCTGCTGTGTTTACATTTTTGTTATCGTAAATTCTCCACACCGATTCATTTAATTTATCTGAGTGGTGCGTCAAACTAGAGGCCAATCCGCGTACAAGCGTGCGTGCTATTGCACATGAAATGGGAGCGTCTCAAACTACTGCTTGGCGGGTTCTCCATGACCAGCAACTAGACCCATACCACCTTTTAAAAGTCCAAGCCATGGGTCCAGAAAACTATCTGCCGCGTCGACGTTTTTGTCGTTGGTGGCTGCAGCAGGAGTTGAGGCAACCAAACTTTGGTCGCTACGTTTTGTTCACTGACGAGTCCTGTTTCACAAAGGACGGTTATTTTAATAGCCGTAACAGTCACATTTGGGATGAAGAAAACCCTCATGCCATAGCCATCCATAGAGACCAACATAGTTTTCAATTAACATCTGGTACGGCATTGTGGACGAGCATATCATCGGGCCATATTTGCTTCCACCACGTTTGGATGGGCATGCTTATGGTCGATTCTTACAGCATGTGCTACCGGAACTATTAGAAAATGTGCCACTGAACATAAGAGCCAACACGTGGTTTCAACACGATGGCGCTCCAGCCCACTTTTCTTTACAAGTGCGGCAGTATTTGGACGACAAATAGGTGGATAGGCCGAGGTGGCCCTGTGCCTTGGCCTGCGCGGTCACCCGACCTGACCCCACTGGATTATTTTCTCTGGGGCCATCTGAAAGCTTTAGTGTACGAAACTACTGTTCCCAACCAACAAGAGCTACTGGGAAGAGTGATGGCCGCGTCCGCACATGTTCAGGACATACCGGGGGTATGCCACAGAGTTCGCCGATCATTGAACAATCGTGCACAGCTGTGTATTGAGCAAGGTGGAGGACACTTTGAGCAATTACTGTAGGTAAGCTGTTTCAAGAAACTGATCTTTTTTTTTGCTGCATCCCAAACGGCATATTTCCGAACAGGGGTTTATAAGGCAAAATTGTTCATTTTGATGCCCTCTACAACCCCTATCATTTTGTCGCAATAATTATGGAACACCCTGTATAGCTTTACTACATTAGATAGTACGTATATATCATTTATATTAATTTTGTAGTGTAGCTTTTTCTATTGTTGTAGTTTTTGAGAAGGAAATTGAATGTTAAATGTTATTCGGGGATACACACAAATTTTAAAATTCATCGTATCCTCGTCTAACATTTCTAGAGCCTGTCAATGTAATAATTATTTGAATAAATTATTTGAATTTGAATTTGAATTTGAATGGAGCTGTCATATCTGCCAGTTCTGGATGTACGAAGATCGTCACGGTTGGGATGCAAGGTTGAAACCAGGCGGATCTGTCTGACAGGCACATCACGTGGCGCCATCATGGAGGAGAGCTCTGAGGAGCAAAGCCCATTGGCGTAGTGGTAGAGAAGAGCGAGATCGTCGACGGCCCGAAAGGGTCCCGAGAATGTCGTTAGAGAAGAGTCATTGATCAGTCGAAGAGCCCTTCTGAGTAGCATCGAGCATGGATAATGTAGTAGGGCAGCAACACCCCAAATGTGTGAGTAATACTCGAGGCTAGGTCTTATCTCGGCCTTCCACATAGTGACGAGATGTAGAGGAAAATACTTCTTAGTTCCAAACAAATAGCCTAGTTTTTTCCAGCAGGTGCCGCTATTGACGAGATGTGTTCATGCCATATCAAGTCGCTTCTGTTCATCAAGGTACGGTACTGTGTTTTGGAATCATTAAAATGTATAAGATCGTTGGGTCCCCAAGCAGTGATAACCCCCCGATCGCTCACAATACGGAGAGAAGTAAAAATGTGTACACTTATTACTGATACCCGAGGTACATTATGGGCAATGCAATATTGCCTTAATAGATAATACCCCATAAAGATAATGAATGAATTTGGTTCTTGACTTAGTAGAGTTGATCTTACCTAAATTTTCCATACTCTGTGTAAGCAACGCCTCGAAGGTATGTAAACTATAACTTTCAGCGTCCATTCCTTTAGCTAAGGTATTACGTAAATGCATTTCATATTCTAGTAAAAGCCTACTGGTTGGAGATCCAGGAGTAGGGGTGGCATTTGAATTCTGAAACAGATTTGTCAGGTGTGAGAAACAATATTATACAAATTCTTATAGTTGAGTCTTTCCCTTGAACGGCGAATGTACAATTCTTGTGAAAGTGAGTAAAGGTCCTCGCACAAGACATATAGAAGACGGATCCCAAAAATTCAGAATGATACATTTCTCGGCTTCCTTAAAAGAAGTTTTTTTGGCGCGTAAGCAATTCTATGTTTAGTTTCTAAGGAATAGGGGATACAAGTTTTCGAATTGAAAATACTCGTATGGTGAATGTATATACAGGGTGGCCCATAAGTCCTTTGAGCTGGAAAAAAAGGAATAAAACCAAACTAGTTATATTATGAAGAATTATTATATTTTGTTATCATCTTTATTGAATGGGAATTATATTTTAAAAATCACATCGTCTAAATGCAATCCATTACGATCACGGCACTCATATAAACGACGTCTAAAATTGTCGATGACTGCGGGGCAAGTCAACACTGTAATGCTTGCCATTTCTCTTCGGATATTTTCTTTCAGGATATCAACTGATCGCGGAGTGGTGTCGTACACTTTACTCTTGAGGTAGCCCCATAAAAAGAAGTCCATTGGGGTCAAATCTGGACTACGTGGTGGCCAGGAAATGTCTCCTCTTTGAGAAATTACTTTGCTGCGAAAAAGTTGACAGACGACGGGCATAGAAGTGTTGGAGGTGTGGGCAGTTGCTCCGTCCTGTTGAAACCAGGTCTGCGTATTATAGCCTGGAAAATTCTGCAACGCTGGTGTCAAAAACTCTTCTATCATTGCTACATACCGCTCCGAAGTAACAGTTAATGCGCGACCTCTGTCGTCCTCAAAAAAATAAGGGCCTACGATGCCATGCGCTGACATAGCAGCCCAAACTGTAACTTTAGGGCTGTGAAAGGGCTTCTGATGCTTACGCCTTGGATTTTCGGGGCTCCAATAACGGCAATTTTGTTTATTTACATGCCCGTTTAAATGGAAGTGAGCCTCGTCCGAGAACAACACATTATTGAGCGAGGAAAATCGATTCAACATTTCATTCGCAAAGTTTAGTCTCTGAATAGCGTCATTATCTTTTAATTCCTGCACTAACTGAATTTTGTAAGCGTGTAGACGTAAATCTTTCCTTAAAATCCGCTGTAAAGATGTTCTGGGTACGTTTAGTGCACTGGAACGCTCACGAGTAGACTGGGTAGGATTTTGACGAACAGACTGTGCCACAATGTTGATGTTTTCTTCAATACGAGTTGTCCTTGGTCGACCCCACCGCTGTTTATCTAACGTAGAACCAGTCTCTTCGAACTTAGCAACCCAGTTCTTAATCGTTTGAGCTGTTGGACACTTTGTAAAATTGTGTAAATTGTGGTATTCTCGATACTTACGCCGCGCAATGGTTGCCGAATCATTATTTTGATAAAACGCGCGCACACAAAAAGCACGAAGATACTGCCCCCACCTAGCCCGCGCCGCTCACGCTCACCCGTTAAATTTTATTCAAATTTGAAATTTCAAAGGACTTATGGACCACCCTGTATAAAACCGATTTTTAAATTCCTCAAGAAGACGATACATATGCAGAATGTACCGAATCAAGGAGAACTTTATAAAATAACTGGTGCTCTTATTAATAGATGCCATCATCTAATTACCATTCATGGGATATGTTAATGCTCAATTAGCACTTTAGCAATGGCAGAGGAGACAAACGGCGGTATAGCGATAGATGAAGTACTTATACTTCATATATCTTCATATCCGCACAAGGAATTTACTCGCGTTTTAGTAAACCAATCAAGTATCTACTATGGATATCTTATCGACAAGCTTATGAAAATAACCAGGATTAACCTGATGATTATGAAATAATTAATAGATATAGGTGCAGAAGTAAATCTGGCAACAAAACCCTAGATACACGTGTATGCTCTCCACGTGATTGGAGTTCGTAATCTTTCGAAAAAGTTGACCCAAACCATTCGACATGCCGGAAGCTCAAGGTAATGGTTAAAAAACTACAATACCCTAAATCTGTTTCGAATTGACTTGCTTACCTTCATAATAAGCTTGCCTTTAAATAGACCTTGTAAAAATCATGGCCAAGATCAATACGACACTTCCCAACACCCCTCCTTGAAAGGTTTTGAATGAAATATACTAAGTGACATATAAATCCGAACACCCAGTTTAAATGGTTTTATTTTAATAAAATGTTGTATAAGTACTTCATGAAGCATAATAAGTAAATGATAAAAATTTCAAAATGATTGCACTGCTTTAAAGCCCTTTGACCTTTAATAATGTGTGGATGCACCCTGATGTGCTACGCATTCTCCAACGCGCCTAGGCATGCTTCTGATCAGGTGGTCAATGTCCTCCTGTGGTATCTCATTCCAGGCAACCACCAACTCCTCTCGAAGTGCTTCTAGAGTCTGAGGAGGACGTTGCAAATTGAGCAATCTCCTACCCATCATATCCCACACGTGCTCGATTGGGGATAAGTCGGGAGATCTTGGTGGCCATGGTAACAATGTGACATCATTATGTTGAAAGAAGTCTATTGTGACTCTTGCAACATGTGGTCGGGCATTATCTTGTTGGAAAGTTGGATCTGCCAGGGTGTCAAGATAGGGTAAAAGATGGGGTTCTAGAACTTCGTGGATATAACGCTGCGCGTTCACGTTACCTCTGATGAAGATTAAAGGTGACCTGGAACCATAAGCTATAGCACCCCAAACCATAACTCCAACAGTGTGATGAACATGTCTTTCAACAAAAAACTGTGGATTCCTCCTTTCACCACGTCGCCTTCTAACCCTGGCACGACCATCGTACATGCCTAAACAAAATCGAGACTCGTCACTAAAGACAATACTGTTCCATTCCTGATCCCAGAGTGACCGTTATCTGCACCACTCAAGGCGATTACGTCGGTATTCTCGAGTTAAAGGGAGGACAAAATGTGGCCTGTATGAAAACAAGCCAAAACTTCTCATTCGTCGGTAAACACTTCGCATGCCAATAGGTCTTCCGTGTTCTGCAAACCATTCATTTGCAATGGACCTAGTAGTGGAGAAACGGTCCCTTAAGACCAATAATCTTAGGCGGCGATCTTCACGGTCTGTTGTTCTACGGCGGCGTCCAGTGCCCTTGCTCTTTGCGTACGGCCTTCTCGAAGCCATGCCTGACAACACCTAACCACAGTGTCTGCACTTTTTTGCACTCTAACTGCAATTGCCCGAAAAGAAAGTCCAGCTTCCCTATACGGCCCCTATCAAACTCACTAAGTTGACGAAATCGTACAGGTCTCCGTACTCTAGGCATCGTAACCGATAGTAAAGGATGTCAAGAACCAAAATCCGGCAACGTTGATTCTTTACTGCGGCTGAAATATTCATTTTTAGAGCGTTAGTGAATTAAAAAAAAGCAGTATAAAAACCGGAATGTACAACTGATAAGGCTGAAAATTTTTTCACTTGTTATTTACAGTAAGATACAATATATTCACCAACTTTTATTAAAATAAAACCATTTAAACTGGGTGTTCGGATTTATATGTCACTTAGTATACTTTCTTCAGTATAACAACTTCTTGAGTATTTGGTCTGAAAACTGCAACCAGCAAATTAACCATCTCTGCAAATCGGTCTAGCTTCCACCCCTTATTTTTCAGAAACTAGCTGGACTGCTTTGATCCCAGGACAAGTATTGTTTTTCAGACGAATCGCCTGGGACCTATTTTCCACATGTTTTGCGCGGGCCCTTTCTCATCATATGCACACACATTACAATTTAAAAAAATCGATATTATTAAATCTAACACTGCCTCCAGCAAACGATCAGGTGAAAAGATAAGATGTGTCTCAGTATGCAATCCTGGCGATCGTCGTGTAGGTGAACCAAGATATCTGCTTATGAATCGGATTTCAAAACACCAAAACCAAAGAACATCTATAGGAATGTCAAAGCGAGAACAATGAAATGTTGCAGAATGAAGGAGTTGGAACAGTAAAGGCATTTCTCACGTTTTTTACTTTTTCGCTACTACTTTATCGCACATTTAGCTTTACTTCAAATGTAGTTGCCTCTGAACGGAAAGTCTTGACGTTCAAAACACCCTATATATTTTAGGTACGCATATAGCTCTTTACAATACTTTTAATTACATGTAAAGTATAATGAACGTAAAATAATTGAAAAGCTGGCTACAAAGAATAACAAGCGTCAACCAGTGACGTACTTTTTCTAAAATGAAACCTATTTCTCTACCTTTTTCTTTACGATGACCTACCTGATGATGTAAATGCCTATGTCTTCCATGGTGATACGAAGACTGTTCTGTTTCCGAGTTTCCATTGCTAGAACTAGGCGTGGTCGCGTAACATTGGTTATCGAATATGACATTGTCTGAAGGTGGTGAGAAATCGCCTCTACCTTCTCTTTCAAGCTCGAGATACAGGTTCCTACCAACAGGGTAGCCTCTTCCAATCTCGTGCGAAGAACTGAGAATCAAAGAATATAATAATAATAATAATAATAATAATAAAAGGCTTTATTCGAAGAGACAATGAATACAAAAATAGTGTTCAACAAAAAGGAATAATTGCTCTCGAATCTCAAGGGGGACTTCGCGACCTGCGTGCTTTTCCACTCATCCCTTGCTCTATTTTAAAATAGTGATATCAACTGTTAAATGACTACTACTAAGTATATGAGAGCAGAAAAAAAAGCATGAGTACAAAATAACAAACAACACTGAAAATATAAAACTGAAAATATTCCATCATATAATCATGAGATTCAATATGCTCTTTAAATCTGAGCTTAAAATCTATTATGAGACCCAAATTCTTAACAGAATCGCAGAACGGTATTAGAACATTATCTATATGTAGCGTCATATTGTTCATTATCTCTGACCGATCTTTCCCAAAAATTATTGCTGCTGATTTTTTTGGATTCAGTGACATTGAATGACCATTAGAAGTTTTAAATAGAGCGTCAAGATAAGCATTAATTTTAAACTCCGCCATTGGCCAATCATCACCAAGGAATGAAAGGCAGTATCATCTGCATATATGTGAGGCTTACAGTATTCAAGAGATTTGGAGAGCTGACTAGTATATAGCGTGAATAATAGCGGTAGGAGTATCGAACCCTGCGGCACCCCTTATATACGTATATATCGTCTGTAATGTGTGCAATATCCCTAGTGGGGGATCACATAGTAGATTTTGACTATTACTAATATTGTAATTTAACTTTATCTTCTTTTGAAAAGCTCATGCTCCAAAATTATGGGTAACTTTTTTATCAAACTTTAAAGTTTTAAGTATATATGGGAAAGGGATGAAAACACCTTCAAAATGAGAACTAATGAAAGATGTCCAGTTCGTTGCAACGGTTAATTGGTTGTTGCAAAAATTCGTTTAGTTTTTTGCCGAAAGGTGGATAAGAGGTGAATATGAAATAGTAGTCAAAAGTTAGAGCCTTTATGGTAATCAACATAAACGAATCTTAAAAAATACTCAAACTATCTAACGACGTAACTGCTGCAACAAATTCGATATACAGGGTGATTTTTCAGTATTTAATTACTATAGAACATACTATACTATAACTATCTAAAACTGTAATGACTCATCGATGTTCACGTGAACGTCACTTAACTACCAGTAGTCGGCTGTTCATAGGCGGGGTATGAATGTTTAACATGGGTGAACTAGATTTGTCACATGCTTAATAAAGAGTGGTTTGAAACATATTGTAAGTCAAAAATTTGGGAATTACCTTTATTCATCGTCGCTTCCACTTACATCTGACAGTAATAAACTGTCGCTATCGTTTTCCTCGTTGAAATTGACTATAACTGGCTCTATGATGGTGTCGATGTGGTGGTCAAGCTGCCACATTTTTGTTTCTTCCTTCACAATATGACGGATAGCATTCTGCCAAGCTTCGGGCGTTACTAGCTGTATGGAAGTCTCAAGTAAAACCTTAACGTCTGGTAATTTGAAGGTTGTGTTATGGCGCGCAATATAACCCTTCACTTGAGCCCAGATGAGCTCTATTGGGTTCAGTTCACAGTGGTAGGGCGGTAACCGCAGCACAGTGACACCACATTGACGGGCCATCTCATCAGTCACGTAACTAATGTTCGCAGGTTTGTGCTGTTTAATTTTTTCATACAATTCCGCTTTCACACATGAATCGTCAAACGGGATTCCTTTTTCGCGCAACCATTGCTGCATGTCACTTTTTCGAGATCCCATAGTCGGTACACGTTCGGCTCGACGACTATGGCAGGAAGCATTATCCATGACGATCACAGAGTTGGGCTCAACTCGCTGTAGCACCACTTGAAACCAGCTCTTGAAGCAGCTGGCATTCATTTCGTCATGGTAATCACCTCCTTTCTTAGAGACAAAAATCGAGTCACACTCTTCTAAAAAGCCACTATCGCTACCAATATGAGTTACGATCAATCTTTGACCTTTCCCTGACGGTCCACGAAGACCTGTTGACAAACCTTCAATGCTTGCTTGTCGGTTACTCACTACGTTTTTGTCTATCCAGGTTTTTTTAACTGTGTGACCTGCATTTACCCATGTCTCGTCCAAATAAGAGATTTTTCTGCTTTGTCGCCTATATTCAATCATTTCGCGTAGGTATTTTCGACGCCAGCCGACTATTTCAGGTCTCTCTATCAATACTGACTTCCGATTACGCGTTTCGTAACGAAAATTAATTTCGTGCAGGGATTTCCTCATTACCTCGACGCTCATTTGGGGTATAATTCCATTTTCCTTGATCGCTGCATGTACAGCCTTGAGGGTTGGTATCTCATTCCTAAAGAAGAATGAATGTACGGTTCGCCTTAACGCCATTTTGCTATCGTCATCCAATTTAACGGCCTTTCGTCCCTTCAAATTAAACTTTGGATCAGTAGTAGCTCCAGTTTTCTTCTTTTCATGCACCACCCTGCGAATGGTCCACTCTGGAACCCCTGTCATACTTTCACAACGCGCGAATGCATCTCCCTGCGACATAGTTCTGTTCAGATAATTGAACACGTTGAGCACGATTTCTTTCGCGTCCCTCTTCAGTGCTTTACGAAGCCGTCTACTTGTTCCCTGGCTTTCAGTACTTCCACTCGTGCCGTTTGTACTCTCCATGGTTAAGTATAACCAAAACAGTCACCACAGAAACCACAACAATTCTTATAATAAGACATAATGTGCGATCGCTCAACGAAACACGTTCCAATGCGTTGCCGACGCCTATGAGTCTGCCGGTCGAGGCGCGTCTTTGATTTCATTGGTTCTACCGGCGGAGAACAATCAGCCATTATTTCCATCTCTGTCTGTGCTGTTGACCACCGCAAAGCCACAGAAACGACATATGTCGTACGCTATACGGCTGTACTGGAAGGAAGCCGGGATCGAGCTCTGATCACGTGTTGATCACGCGTATGAGTCATTACAGTTTTAAATAGTTGTAGTATAAAACATGTTATGTACAAAAGTTGTAGATTATACACTTCCTAGTGGGAATATACTGCTCCCTAGAGTGATTCATACCGACATGACAATAATCTTTTTGTATATTCTAATATGCAACTGCAAAGGAAGAAGTTTTGATGTAGCCTGACATATTATACTAATTCCGGAAATAATTCCTATTTGTCGAAATTTATTCGATGTTTCTATATAATTACTTGAAATTTCATCATATAGCCAAAAATAGTTTTATAGAATATGTAGAAGGAATAATAGTAATAATAATAAACTTTACTTACGCTTGAAACACAATACAAAGAATGATTGATCAGTATGAAGTAACGGCCCATAGGAGGCATAGCCTGTAGGGAGACTGGGGATGATTGTGACATTTTTATTTCAAAGTGTCATATATTTGTTTGTTTTTAATCAATTTACCTGACTATAGCTTTGTATGATAAAGTAACTATTCAGAATATAGATCTGTAATAAATTTGATGTAAAAGACTAATAGACATTATTGGAAGAAGTCTAAGAAAAAAGGTGTTTAATTTTTAACCGCACCTAAAGGGTTAGAAGTTATACTACACGGGGTAAAATGTTACAATGAAAATCAAACTTAATTTACTTCTTTTTATTATAAATAAGTATCACCATCACTTTCTTTTCTTTATGTGACACTCAATTATGTCTCACTTCAGTCTTCTAACTTAAAACAAAATCAAAACTAGTCTAACAAAGTCGTCTAGTATGTTATATTAGTAAGACTATAGAGCTTTCATTGAATAGACACTTGGTATGAATTACCAATACGTAAATAAAGCTACATTATGAAAAAGAAAGTGCTCTTTAAAAAAAATACATAAGGAGAACAAAGCACTTCAGTTACTGTAGTCTGAACAATCACTTTCACAATTCAAACAAACGTATTAGGAAATATTTCCCTTGCGCATTTACAATTCTTACAAAGTACAAACTGTACCCATTCTTCACCAGCTTTCTTCGGATCAAAAAAGTCACTACATATCAGACAAAAATCAGCATCATCTCCACTTTCTTCGTCTTCGTCAGTGTCATATAATAACTTCCTCTTTACAAGAATGTTCTATTCCTTTCTTTGTTTTACGTTTCTTACTGGTATTTTCTTGTTCATTATTCTTTCTTGTGCTTGAGTTTGCTTTCCTCCTTTCATTAATTTACCTTATCAATTTATTTTCCTTTTTTTTTGCTCTGATCCAGTTCCAAAGCTCTTTTTTCCGGAGAGTCAGTTAATACAGCTGATTTGCGTTATTCGTGTTATTTTGGTTGTTCTCGCTACAGCTTTTGGATAAAGCCGAACAATCTCAGGAGAAAAAATACCTTCATTGAGCTTCATATTATGTTTGCGGGTTGGAGCTTTCGGATCCTACTGTGGCACTCTCTATAAAAGAATGGGAAGAAGGCGGAGCTTGAGTTTCAGCCATCACGTTCTGTGTTCTAAGGGGGGATTTTGGTTGTTGCGTCTATTGGTCTATCGACAACAGAGGCAGACAAAAAGTCTTCATCCTGGATAATGTCTTTATTAAATGGTGCAATACCAGTCTTTTTAAAGCCATTGATGATGTTGGTTGGGTTTAATGCCAAGGGTAACGCTTCTGTCATTAGAGATGGTATATCGTGAATAGTCATATTCTTCCACGGGTTGCTGCTTAGCCAAGCATCTTTTTGACTGGCATAGTAATTTTTGAATGGTCCATAGACCCCCACATCCATAGGCAGCACTACATTGTTTTCTTTGGCTATTTCGATGACTTGAGTATCCAGGTGTGAAGAGTGAGTGGTCAAGAGTAAGAGCACTGGATCGGTTTCACATGATTAATGAAATGTCTCATAAATTGTCTGAAGGTCCATCGCAAATAAGATAATCCCTGTATCTAATTCATGGGAAGATAAACCTGGCAGCGAGCTTCCCGCTGCATTTGCTGCTATGCAGAGAGTGATAAGAGTCCCTCTCTCAGCTAATGTTATGGAACCAATCTGCTTAGATTCTTTTGGGGCCAACACTTTTCTAGGTTTCTGTACCGTTGTGATGCCTGTTTCATCAACACTCCATATACGTGAAGAAGTAAGTTGGTATTTATCTAATACGGCAGCTAACTTTCAACATGTGTTTTGTTGAACGACGTGGCTCTGCTCAAGCTAGTAGCCTCCGGTGATCGTATAGATAAAGAGGGATTGCGTTTTAGAAACGCTGTCAGCCAATCAACTCCAGCTTCTTTATTAGAAAGCCAAGGTTTCGGCATCGCTATACGGAACTTAACTGCACAACCAAATGCTATTTTTTCTGACATCTTCTAGCGTCAATCCATAGTAAATCTGACATTCGATTAAGTACGTCACCAAAGCGTATTCTTGTTCTGGATTCAACACTTGTTTATTCTTCAGGTACCCAACTGTGACAGATTCCATAGTTTTACCTTGTTCTTTTGCTTATTTTCGTTTCTTTAAAAATCTGGCATATTCCAAACTCTTTGGCGATGCCTCGAATTTATTTAGTTTTGTCCTGCTCTAAGTTTTCCTTGTGTTAGTCGATCAAGGTGTGAATATTTATCTCTTTCTACACCAATGTAGATTTCTCTGTTTCGCCACTGTGGCCATTATAACTACTTACCCCCATAACAACCAGCCCCAGGCTCCCTACATGGACCAGTGATGTTACAACTGTTTTATTGAAATATGAATAGAGATACAGCTATCAACGAATTATCTGATCACGTTTGTATACGTCTGCCACAGAAAAAGTCCATTTTTTTACTTTGTCTTGAACTTACTCCCAAAGCGTAGACCCCTTATACCGTCAGGTAAATTTGTGTACAATTTTGGACCTAAATAAAGGTATGATCGTTGTGTTGTAGGTTTATTTGGTCTAGGTATAACTGTTCCTCTTAGTTTATGCCTTGAGTGGTGATAAATTTGTGATAGTTGGTTATAGCATGTAAGAGATAAAACTGTTTGAAATCATATACGTGGGTATCTTTGTATAAGACATCAGCTGGATACAATTTTGGTTTGTTAAACATTGTTTTTATAATCATTTTTCTAAAAATATCCATATCATGAATATGAATCGACCATGTGGCTCCTCATGCCAATATACCGTAGGTTAATTGTGGCTCGATCACGGTATGGTATAAGGGATGGAGATATTTTTCTTTTAAAATGTTTTTGATATATTTAATTTTATACGATATATGTACATATATATCTAACTTTTTTTTAAATTTATGATATATTAATATCCCAACGCAAGTGAGGATCCAGGAATATTCCAAGGATATCTACCTAGTTTGATCTAAGATGATTTGAAAGACAAAATTGTCATATTTTCATCATTGTGTGATCTCCAAAAAGGTAAGAGGTTCGAGTCGGTTTAATGGCGGCAAAGTTGCGTATTTATATATTTTAGAGAATTCATTTGAAAAGTTTTGATGCTTCAAGTATCTCCGGAAATACGCGGAGAAGGGAACAAGTTCCCAGAATCGTCTTATGATTTTTCCTAGATTTATTTGACCAGGATTTCAAAATATTAATATTTACATTTTCTTGTCTCTGCAACTCTCAACTTCTTTCCTGTATACGTGAATAGTTTTTAATTCTGATTTCAAGTATTATAATATATATTTTATTATAAATTTTGTTTCCTAGTCAGTCTCGAAATTACCATATAGTCATTTATTTCATAGAATATCGAAGATGATAACATGTAACCTATTGATATAAAATTTCAAGTGCCTAACCCCATATATACTAAGTGACATATAAATCCGAACACCCAGTTTAAATGGTTTTATTTTAATAAAATTTTGTATAAGTACTTAATGAAGCATAATAAGTAAATAATAAAAAGTTCAAAATGATTGCACTGCTTTAAAGCCCTTTGACCTTTAATAATGTGTGGATGCACCCTGATGTGCTACGCATTCTCCGACGCGCCTAGGCATGCTTCTGATCAGGTGGTCAATGTCCTCCTGTGGTATCTCATTCCAGGCAACCACCAACTCCTCTCAAAGTGCTTCTAGAGTCTGAGGAGGACGTTGCAAATTGAGCAATCTCCTACCTATCATATCCTACACGTGCTCAATTGGGGATAAGTCGGGAGATCTTGGTGGCCATGGTAACAGTGTGACATCATTATCTTGAAAGAAGTCTATTGTGACTCTTGCAACATGTGGTCGGGCATTATCTTGTTGGAAAGTTGGATCTGCCAGGGTGTCAAGATAGGGTAAAAGATGGGGTTCTAGAACATCGTGGATATAACGCTGCGCGTTCATGTTACCTCTGACGAAGATTAAAGGTGACCTGGAACCATAAGCTATAGCACCCCAAACCATAACTCCAACAGTGTGATGAACATGTCTTTCAACAAAAAACTGTGGATTCCTCCTTTCACCACGTCGCTTTCTAACCCTGGCACGACCATCGTGCATGCCTAAACAAAATCGAGACTCGTCACTAAAGACGATACTGCTCCATTCCTGATCCCAGAGTGACCGTTGTCTGCACCACTCAAGGTGATTACGTCGGTGTTCTCGAGCTAAAGGGAGGACCCAGTGTGGCCGGTATGAAAACCAGCCAAAACTTCTCATTCGTCGGTAAACACTTCGCATGCCAATAGGTCTTCCGTGTTCTGCAAACCATTCATTTGCAATGGACCTGGTAGTGGAGAAACGGTCCCTTGAGGCCAATAATCTTAGGCGACGATCTTCACGGTCTGTTGTTCTACGGCGGCGTCCAGTGCCCCTTGTTCTTTGCGTACGGCCTTCTCGAAGCCATGCTTGACAACACCTAACTACAGTGTCTACACTTATTTGCACTCTAACTGCAATTGCCTGAAAAGAAAGTGCAGCTTCCCGAAGTCCCATTATACGGCCCCTATCAAACTCACTAAGTTGACGAAATCGTACAGGTCTCCGTACTCTAGGCATCGTAACCGATCGTAAAGGATGTCAAGAACCAAAATCCGCCAACGTTGATTGTTTACTGCGGCTGAAATGTTCATTTTTAGAGCGTTAGTGAATTAAAAAAAAGCAGTATTAAAACCGGAAGGTCCAACTGATAAGGCTGAAAATTTTTTCACTTGTTATTTACAGTAAGATAAATACATTCACCAACTTTTATTAAATTAAAACCATTAAACTGGGTGTTCGGATTTATATGTCACTTAGTATAGTTGGTTTGAGCTGATCGAATGAGAAACAACAGAACGTAACTCATTTCTATTATTAGCAGTAAAAAAGAAGATATGGAAAACGGTATGATTTTAAAAAACTGACCACAGAAATTTACCGTTTCGGATGTCCCAAAATCGAAGTTTAGCAAAATTCAGTTTACATCTAACGTAGATTTCAACTAATCCTAGTAATTTCTGATCTAGTAAATACTGATTTAGCTTGTGGAGAATTCTGTACCTGAATAATTTGAGTTTAGTAAAAAATGTTCTGTTTATTTAACTTTTACTGAGCTAGAAAAAAGGGGGGCAGCTGCCACCTCTCCCTACCCACCTGGATCCAGAAAACCTTGAATTCTGCGCCATGGCCGATCTAGGATGTGGATGCCCAGACTCCGGTTCCGAATGTCTTCCATTATTATTTCCACCATGCCTTTGATGATAATGCGTGTTGTAATAGTTGTATCTCCTCCTACCCATCTCTGGCGAAGTCACTGGTGACTCTGCGCTAGGCATCGGCTTCAACATTCTCTTCAAAGTGTTGCTATCCAAGCTCATGCCGTTCTCTCCGCGGTTCATGTCTTCGGTGCTCTTGGATTTGCTTCTTCTGCCTCCCAGGTTGTTGTTCATCATGTTCTGGGCATGGGAGGCTGCACGCATTTCGGCTTCTCGAATCTGAAAGAAGCGAAGCATAACTTCTTTCGTAAAACTACAATCAACTTCATATAAATATAAATTTACATAAAAAACACTGAGTAATAATAAATTTATTACAAACATTTATACAGGGTGACTTCGAAGTTGAGTCATTTATTTTAACAGTGAGTAGATCTGATCAAAAGAAATGTTTTTTCCTTTACCATTTTTCTGGTAAAATTAAAGTAACAAAGTTATAGCCCTTTGGAAGTTTGAGTACCGCCCTATCTCAATAATAATATTATGTGCTCGTGTTTGGCAACAAGGATATAATCCGCCTTATCGGTTCATCGCATCGGAAACAAAAAAGCGAAAGAATTTGGAACGATGTTTTTACAATTATTTTATTCAGTTGTATACAGTCAGTGTCAGTCGGTAACGCGTGAGTGAATAGTGGTGTCTGTTGCGTGGCTCAAACGAAATCAAAAATGGCACATGTTTACGAAAATGCTGAACTTGTGGACATGATTCTTATTTACGCGGCATCTTGGATTTATGCGGATCGGTTTCCCAATCGAGTGCAACCAACCCCTGGTGCCTTTGTTAATGTAGTACAAAGGGCTCGTGAATCAGGTGACTTAAGACCTCACAGGGGAACAGGGGAGGGCATGCCGGTGCTCCAAGACCGCAAAAAATAATCAGCTTTTCAACCATATCGATAAAGTGACTTTGTGATATAGTCTGTTCATACAACAAATGTACTCGTAAGTAAGCGTTAGTTGTGTTTGTACGTAGTTACAAGTGGAATTTGTTCATCGTACGATACGTGGTGGAGAGCTGCTTAATGTTGCATTATGCTTAAGGCTTGTTCGTACAGTGGACAGTGACTTGTCGGTGACGGTATCTGGGAGCCGGCCGTGTGAACTCCGTCTATATTATACAGGGTTATCCAAATTAAGTGTCCACCATTAGTAACTTTGTTATTAGTGAAAATACAAAGTTGTTTGAATTAGCAAACTAGTAGCATTTTTAACGCTGGTAAAAATGAGAAATAAAAAAAACAATTGAGAGTCGTTATTTTGATTTTTTTCAGTAAAATAACAGTTTTTTAAATGGAAACCCCTGTATATTATATTTTTTTCTGTTAAAGCATCAAATTTTAAACAAAAAAGCTTACAATAACTTTTCTCCTAGGTTACAAATTGTTGAAGTTATGGCCTCCAATCTGAAACAATTAAATTGTATCGACAAACTTTATTTTCAACATCAACTTATAATCTTACAAAATACAATAACAATTTTTTTTAAAGAAGATGCTCGAAAACACCACCTTGTTCTTCAATACATTTTTGGGCACGTTTTTCAACTGCTCGAACTGTCTTAAGTATGGTCCTACCATCTATCTGGGTTATCTTTTCCCTAACTGCAGTCTTTAACGCGTCAAGGTTATCGTACGTAACCCCACAAGAAGTAGTCAAGTGGGTTTAGATCTGGTGATCTGGGAGGCCACTGTATTGGGCCATTTGTTCCTATCCACTGATCATTAAAAGTAGTACTTAGAAAATGATAAGTACCTCTGGAGTTGTGAGCAGGTGCGCCATCTTGCTGAAAATGCAGATGATGTCTACTTATAAGATCCAATTCGTCTAAGAAATTAGTCAGAATTTCTGACATAAATTCCACATATCTTTCACCAGTTAGGGTTCCCTCATAAAAGAACGGGTCAACAATTTTTGAACCAATTATATATACCGCACCAAACGTTGAAACTGAAACGGACTTGTGGGCCTCTTGGATGTACTAACAAAAGATGTTCTCTTGACCAATAATGGTGGTTTTTTCTATTAAACATTCCAGAATTTGAAAAATTTGATTCATCTGTCCATAAAAGGTAACGAAAGTTATTTACATTTTGGCGACAGAAGCTAAGATACCAATGGCAAAAAACAAGTCTTCTCTCTGGATCCCCTGCCAAAAGCGTTTGAACTGGTCGGTACTTATACGGAATAAATTTGTATTTTTTTAAAATCCTTTGAACAGTACCATAACTGAAATTAGAGTCCTTGAGAATATCTGCTATTGAATTCTCACGATAAGCTTCAAAATATCCAATAACTGCAATTTCCGTGGCCTCGCTTATTATGAATTCTTTTTTTGCCCTTGTTTTAGCAAAAACATTTTCGTTGCCCCTAAATTTTCGATAAAGTCTCAGAAAATATCGTTCATACGGTTGAATGCGAGCGGGATATAATTCACTGTAGTATTCTCTTGCTCTCAAGGAGGATTTTCTGCACACTAAATAGCATTCTAACATATCACACTTTTCTTCATGGGAGAACATTTTTCTTTAAATTAATGACACAATAAAGCTTATAAACAAGTATTTACGCTAATGTTTGACATTATTTGATTTTATCATTGTTTCCCAAAGCCTTCTAGTTGCGAGTATGTCCAGTTTAACAATTTATCGCTTATCTTAATGATGTCAAATCGCGAACACCATGTTGTTTTCATAGCCGTCTTAATATTATAATACTGCAAATAATTAAAAATATTTATCGTTATTTTGACTTTATTTTTGACTTTAGCGGAAAAGTCATTATGAACTTTTTTGTTTAAAATTTGATGCTTTAACAGAAAAAAATATAACATACAGGGGTTTCCATTTAAAAAAATGTTATTTTACTGAAAAAATCAAAATAACGACTCTCAATTGTTTTTTTTTATTTCTCATTTTTACCAGCGTTAAAAATGCTACTAGTTTGCTAATTCAAACAACTTTGTATTTTCACTAATAACAAAGTTACTAATGGTGGACACTTAATTTGGATAACCCTGTATAGCGTAGCAGAATGAACGGAACTTGTGTGTGGGGATCTTGGGTACGATCACTGGAACAGTTGTACGAACAGAGAGTGAGAAGACGACATCTCAGCGAGTTTGATAGCTGGTGAATAGTGGGGGCTTGTGTGAGGCTAGCTGGTCATTTAGTCCAGTCCATGTAAAAAACCTATAAAACGTCAGAAAACAATAAAATGTCATCTTGCATACTAGGTGGTTTTTAGGGTGCAAATCGTTCATTCCACGCTATGATCGCAGTGAGCGTCCATCTATGGAGGAGTGGCATTGTTGAATGCAGAAAGCAGGTATGTGTTTTGTCAAGCCGAGTAGTCTGTAGTATTTATCTCTGAGATGTGAAAGAAAGAAAGTTGGTTGAGTAGCAAGATCGCATCAAATTATTCCTAAATGTGCTGCCAATGAAGTATACATTTTAGCTGTGCCCGACGGGTTATTTATAAGTTGTTCTTCCTGAAGACAGCTTATGTTCAAAGTTATAAATTACGATTTTTCCCGTATTTTGTATTTTCAAAAGCAATGAGAAGCATTAGCGTCGTGTGCAATTAAGCCACATCACAGAAAAATTACGAATGACGCATCACACATCAAACATAAACCTAGCATTAACATCACAATAAGCTGGAGTAAACCTCATCAGCTTGGCATAAGAGGTTAACTACTGGACTGGTTCAAATCCTACTTTGAAAATCGATATGCAAAGGTGAAAATGCAAAATATAGAATCTCAAACATTTCCTGTATCTTTGGACGTCCCACAGGGATCAGAACTGAGACCATTAATTTTTATCCTTTTTGCGAATAATCTCCCGCAACAGGTAAAAACAGGAAAAGTAGTGATGTTTACAGATGATACATCTGTAATAGTCTATGGAAAATCCACGGAAGAGATTAAGAGGAGAATAATCAGCGTTATGTCTAAAATGGAGTCTTGGTGTACAAAAAGCAACTAATATTAAGTAATGATAAAACAACATTTATAATTCTGTTACTAAAAAATAACTACCAACCCTAATTTTTAAGACAGTGCGATATATTTTCAGTCCAGTGTAAAGCTATTAGGTACTTTTTTAGAGTCTGATCTCAAGTATACCAGTCACATAAATCATGTCTGGAAAAAACTGAACCAAGCGTATTTTGCTATCACCAAAATGAAACCCCTCTTAAGCCGGGATGGTCTTTTGAATTTATACTATGTAATATTGCCACGTGGGGAGTGTCTACTAAGATTAAAAGGGTATCTATAGCTGAAAACAAAATAATTAGGCGCATTTTGGGTTTAAACTATAAAGACTCATATAGGCAAACTTTTAAAAAACACGAAATTCAAACGCTATACTCAATTTATACAGGGTGTCCGCAAAGTTGGGGTTCTCTTTTTCAGAAACAACTACCCTTGAAATAACAAAGGTGATGTGTAGTGAAACGAGGGCGACCAAGTAAAAAAAAATAAAGGAAAAAGGACTCACTCTCCGGTTGACGAGAAAGGCTAAGTACGTCTCTGCCCGAAATCATACCGCTCCAACAGAAAATGAAATTAACTGATGCGCTACCGAGCAGACGCAGGCGGTGGTGCAGACCACGAACAGAGGTAACAAATATGACGGCGTTGCCGCGTTTTCAGTTTTTAGGTAAATGTACTTTATAGGTATTGTTCGAAGTTATCGCCGTTTGATTTAAAAACACAGGTGCATGCACGACGTAGCCAAGTATCGGTGCAGGCTTTGAGAATGGAGTCCCTCCCCCGAAGGAAAGCACCATCTTGTTCAATTCTGAGACGAAGTTCGTCAACCGTATGCACTTCAGTTTTGTATACTAAGCGTTTCATTTCTCTCCAAAGAAAAAAATCACATGGTGTTAAGTCTGGAGATCGCGGAGGCCACGCTACGGGTCCATTACGTCCGATCCACCTATTCGGAAATAATTCATTCAAAAACTCACGCACTTCGCGTCTAGAATGGGGCGGTGCACCATCGTGCAGAAACCACATTGATTGTCTTACACTTAATGGCACATCTTCTAACAAGGAAGGCAAAATGTTGCGTAAAAAGTATAGGTATTGTCCAATCGATTTGGGAGAATAAACGGCAAATGAGCATACCGTTCACCATGCCAGCCCAAACATTCACC